TATGTTCATGAAGCATATTTTTAAATATAATACATCATACGTACTCATTAATTAAACACAGAAATTGTACATGACAAATTATTTAATGTTTGTAGAGAGGTGTCAAAAACTTCAATGCATAGGGACACAATGCGTTATGAACATAAACCATATATTTTTAAGTTCAGAAAAAAATAATTAGGATAATTTTAGCATGTTTGACAAAATAAATATATCATTTCATTTATATGCTAAGACAATGTACACATATATCATGCCAAATGATTTTACTTTTAAATAAAACAACATCTTTATGCCTATTAGAAAATAATGTCACATATTCTGTGATTGAAATCCCCTAAATGCAATGCAACAATGACCAATATTTTTTATTCCTCAACTCTTATTCTTAAAACTATTTATACTATATCCTTACACAAGTATCAAATCATATCAATATCAATATATCTGCTTACACATTATTTATTGGAAAATAAAACAGAAAAGAAATATATTTTAAAAATTCACCAGTATTGAAGACTGAGTTTTTATAAACTGTAATAAAACTTGAAGTTTGGACATAAGACCCTTGGCTGAAAATTGAATAATCTCTCAAACTTTTTAAAATTATGTTTTACGATATAACATTACTAATTCCCACATGAAATTATGGCAGTGTCTATGCTGTGCTATTGGAAGCCCAAAATATGCGTCGGATCAAAAAATAAAATAGGAGATGCACATAAGCAATATGTAATAGAGATTCTCTGAAAGTTTTATAAAATTTCATTCAGTGGTGTGAGAGTAGTAGCGGATAAGAGATGGGTATTCCAAAGCGTAAGAGACGGACGTACAGGCAGACAGACAGACGTGCAGACGGACACAACGTTACCGTATACCCTCCCGCTTTTCAAGCGGTGGGGGGGGGGGTATAATGATCTAAACTAAATCTTTAATCCAATCAAATGACGTGTCACAACTAAAATTAAAATTATTTATCATTGTAAAATATGTAATTAATTTAAAATTTTTTCTCCATAAAATTCTTGCTTAAAATCAGCATTGTCAAGTACATGTATGCTTCTAAAAACATTCAACTTTATTGACATATGACCTAAGAATTATGAATCGTTTTAATTTTTATGTTCAGCATAACTATAAATAACAAACCCTCGCAGTATGAGCTGGTTCAGGGAAGTGGACATTTGCAGTCCCCTATGGACTGTTCAAAAAACTGCAGTAGCCGCCATTAATACAGGTGGACGAACCACAGAAGTCTTGTTGTCTGCAGGTTTCCCCGTACCATCTTCCAACGCCACTGACAAAATAGAATAGAACCCTCAACACTGCAAACACCAAAATTCTCGCACGGGTTTGGGTTGCAGGGTTTAGACGACACAGTATCGACGAAAATAAATTCAGCTACAAATTAAATTGTTATAATAATTCCTTGATATCAGTTTTGGATTTTCAAAACATCCTTTCGAGAAGTACATCCTTGATATTGAGATGCCTGGTGACCACTTTCCGGTAAAGGGAAGCACATATAGACTTCTACGCGGCACATTGGCCTCTTAGCGGTGATCTAAGGATCTTTCCGCATCACTGCACCACCAGGGCCACTGATCATTGATTGTTAAAATTTCTCATTTCTTAGTGTAAAAGGTTATACACTGTACATATGTATTTTAATAGTTTCTTAGGAGACTTACATAATGCAAGAGTAAAGAAAGTCATAGCTCCACTTTCTTTTTTTTTGTGTGTGTTTCAAAACAGCTTTTAATCTGAAGGTCGTATTTATAAAGCATATTTTATAGTATATTGTTCAAAAAGATTGATCCCTGTTATATATATCTTTATATTATACTTAAGGATTCAAATTAACGCCTGTCCTGTAAGTGTTCAATATAGCATCATCCCGATGACCCTACCGAGCGTTATGATTATTTAGGTTTTAGGTCTAATACGTAACGAATTTTTAATTAATGATTTCCGTATTGTGTAACAATAAACACATTTTAACTAGATGCCACTTCATTTCTTTAATTTGACTCGGAAAATTTGATTAGACGACATTTATTGTTCACAACGGGGCATTCGATATTAACCGCTCGTATTCAGAATGTTTCGGGCATTCTCATATACGTAATACAAACTCAGCGTTTGATAAAATGTCAAGATATAGAACATTAAAATTCTCTAGATTTTTTGTTTATTTTTATCAGAGACTATTTCCTGGCTATATAATAAAAAATAATATTTAATTGAAAACTTCGAAAAAATAATGATTTTTTTTATTGTTTCCTGTTATGTGTAATAGTAAAAATGGAACTCGTAAATTTACTTACCTGATCATTGTTCATTTGCAGAATTATTTTGTTAAAACACATTCTGATTGCACACACAAGTACTCTGAAGTTGACATCAAAGGGATGCTTTAGTTTCTGATTGACAATATCTTTGTGGTTTCTGGAGACCAGATATTCCAACAATCTATTGGATTTCCCATGGGTACCAATTGCGCTCCGTTATTAGCAGACCTATTTTTATATTCATATGAAACTGAATTCGTTCAAAATCTTGTGCATGAAAAGAAAAAACACTTGCTGTGGCCTTCAACTCGACATTTAGATATACATCAATTATCAATGGTCATTTCCATTCCTATAGGCCTTACTGCGATACGATATATCCTGGTGAGCTAGAGATAAACGATACCACAGAGTCTGACACATCTGTTTCATACCTGGATATTTTACTTGAAAAAGACGTAAATGGTAGTCTAACAACCAAGCTATATGATAAACGTGATGACTTTAATTTATCTATCGTCAACTTCCCTTACTTATGAAGCAATAGACATTCATCACCTGATTACGGAGTGTATATTTCTCAGTTCATTCGATATGCAAGAACATGCTCTACGTGTGAACAACTTCTAAAATGAGATAAATTATTGACAAGCAAGTTGATGAAACAAGAACATCAACAGTCTCGTTTAAAGTCATCATTTCGTAAATTCTATGGTCGATACAATGTCCTTGTCATCAAATACAATTTATCATTGAGACAATTGCTGACTGACGGTTTTCATACTAATTGTTAGTCTATTATTTATACACTGTATTGACGACGGATTTTTCCGTTATTTTCCGATCAGGACAGGGAGCACACGGCGGGTGTGACCGGTCAGCAGGGGATGCTCACTCCTCCATGGCACCTGATCCCACCTTTGATGTTTCTGAGGTCTGTGTTTGCTCTGCTCCTACTTTGTATTGTTTTATGGACTTTGATTTCTTTTCGATGTTAGTACTATTATCGAACTGTTTATCTTTGATTTCGATCTATCAAATAGTTATCAAAGTAGGAAATTGAAATTATCAGTGCCTTTCTTAAACATTCCCTTTTACAATAAATTTTAAATGTCCACATTGATTTTAACCTTTAAGTTTTGGAATGGTGTTTTAAAGTGCTTAAAATTTGAAAATTGCATATTACAAACGATTTATCATGTTACTTTTAAACCTTTAAAAATCTAAAGTAAAAAAAATTGTCTTATGACCTTTCACGATCATAAAATAGTTGCTCTGTTTTCATTATCGAAGCATAGATCATTGCTGTTATAAGAATGAAATACATACATTTTGTTTGGATAATTTCTTATATCAATGAGTACCTGACATATAATTGATTTATCAATTAATCGTACATGTATACAATATAGATTGTCGATTCTTTTTAACAGGTTTTGGTTTTACAATAAGTTTGGAAAAGTTGATGTAACTTACGTATAAATCTATGTTGTTTGAAATGACGATAGCTAAATTGCCAAATGACTTAAAACAAGGGTATAAAGAGTAGGGCAAGTCAACATTTTACCGATTCTTTTGTCGATAAAATAACTTAGAGTTATAGAGTTTTAAACATTTTATATGAGAATTACCGACATCGTACAGATGAACGTATCAAAGAAAGAGGATCAATCATTGCATTTAAATTTACATACCAGTAAACGAATTCTTCAATATTAATACTGTATTGAAAAGTTGACGATTATTTACTTATGTACGGGAATGTTATTGTGCTTGCGTGCTTGATTGAGTGACCACAAATTTCAATGACAAATGCATGTGCTAAACTTTATTTGCGCCAAATACTGTACATTCCCACTTTTTTGGCGCTAAAATACATATATGCACTATTTTTTCTTCTTTTACTGTACTTCAAGACTACTCCTTGTCATAGTCGCTATCGTGACGCTTCAATACATTTCGATTGACTTTTGAATAACCAAAAGGTTTCGGAAATGGAAAATAAAATGTAAATGAAAATTATCTTATTTTAAAGCAGGAATTCAAAGACTCTCTCTTCATATGAATAAAAGGAAGATGGAGGAATATTTATTAAACATATAATTGTGGTCTGTTTGTTCATGCTACTAGCTAAACTTTATACAAATATGCAATTCAAATTCAATGCTTTGTCTTCAATTAATATCAATATTTTTTTGGATCTTCAACTTTTGCTACTTTTTTGCAAAATGAATGCCTAACGGTACTTCTCCATGGCACCTGACCCTGCCTCTGATGTTTTTGGAGTACCGTCCTTCCTATGCTCAAAATCTTTATTGCTTAATGTATTCTGAGCTTGAATACTGTTCTTGACATTTCTTCTTAACGCAATAATTTCAGTCATTTTCGTCAATTTCAGTCATCAAAAGATAAATAATATCGTCATTTTGAGATGGTGATCAAAACAAATATGGACTAGAAGAGACAAAATTCTGTTTATCTCCATTAAGCCAGCATTTTATCTTGCTTTGACGTGATTTATGTTGATTTAATATTTTGTGGATGACATACATGTAAATGTACCACTATACAGATCACTTACTTTTTGAAAACAGAAAATATGTGTTTGGTAACGTAATCTTTGCAATAATCATAATATATTATTAAATTAATGTATTTCACCTGCACTTTCAAGTATAATAACAAACCACTGCATGTTTTGTGCTAAAACTCTTTAACTTCTAGAAAACTATATGTTTTCACTGTTCGTAGCTTCGTTCTTTACAATTTCTTCTTGTAAAGACGCCGCACTCTGCATACTATAAAGAAATTAAACATCCTGGCCTTAATAATTATATTTGGTTCTGATCATGTCAAAATAAATGGTCATCTCACGAATTTAAAAACTACTCACATTTTACTAGAGCTCCAGCCCCAGTTCCAGCCCCACTTCCTAGCTCTACCTTCCTGACAAGAGGCCATCAGATGAATTTTCACCAGACGTTTAGCGTTTTGGTAAAATTCCTTCTCCTCTATTACGTCATCATCTGAAATATATTCAGAACATTGAATGAGTAGAAACACAGATAGAACCTATCATAATACAATGGCTGTATTAACAATTAAATGGACTCATGTCCAAATAAGCTTGACCTTAACCAAGTATTTTATGTCCTTATTAAGTAATGCTCTCGATTTAAAGAAAGCAGCAACACTTTGCAAGTTAAGGAAAATATCCTTATATTTTAAAAAATGGTTAAGAAAGTACGATTCTATGAGGCATCTCGATGTAAAATAAACCTAATCTGTACATAAAATACGACATAATTAATAAAATACATTATCTTGATAGTTAATAAATAATCGCACTAAACAAAGGATATACATTGGTATTCATAGCATATTTTAAACTTGTAAATAACATTCCATTTAATAATAAAACGCATTTTCATGTTAAAAAATTGCTCAAACTGCCCCTCATAGCACATGAAATACGTCAAATGACGTCATGTTTACAAGTTCATCATGATCAGTGATTCGTTTATAACCAGCAGTATGGGATTTAACTAGCAACTTTTTTAATGCATTGATAAGTTTCATTGTTTTCTATTATGCTGATGCAGTTAAAAATTGTAAATTATTTCATTTTCAAGTATTATGAGGACTGCATAAAAGTAAAATTTTTGTGTGACGTCATAGTAAACTTTTCCCTTATAAATTAGGCCCCGCAACCTTTTTTCAGCCTAAACAAATCTGGGTTTTTTTTCGAAAGAAAACATTTTGTCAATCTTGCAATGGTTTGTAAGAAGAGTATCCATTTTTTTTCTTTTTACCTTTAAACGAATTTTTGGCCATTTGGATTTTTATGGGTAATTGTTTTGAAAATTATCCTTATTCAGAACCAGATATTAGAGAATAAAATTTAGATGTTCAATAGAAAACTCTTGATGTGTGTATTTTTTTTTAAAGTATACATTCTATATAAAATATAATCTATATAGAAATGTAAGAATCAAAATAAATAAAACATCTAATAAATCAAAGGAATAAAAGAAACCATTGGTATCCAAGATGGAAAAGACGACAGCGGTTCCTTCTCGTCCATAAGTGGCCACGACTTTCTGGAACTCTGTCTTCGTGATTTTACCATCTTTGTTTGTATCAAAAGCAATGTAATGACAGGGCAATCTTTGGGTCGTCTGCATTCAAAAGTTATATATCATCATACCAATTATAACAACTGTATTGAAGAACAAATTCTGAAATAACTGATTTATACAAACCTTCCCCCCATTCCTGCCCCATCCAACACACCATCTTCCGTCTGTCAGAGTAAATGCAAGCACCAACAACAAAGAAAGACTGATGGCCGTCTTCATTCTAAAAGGCTGAAAGTGGAATTGTAATACAAAGGAGTATGTGTAATAACCAGTCTTATATAAGCGTATGTGCATCATGACAAAGGAAGCCAGGGACATAGGCTTGCTTGCTTATCGAAAATAAGAATCAAGACATGAAATCTAAATTAGAGATACTTAGTAAATACTTAGTAATTTTGCCAGTGTATATTTGATAATATCTAAGAAATCAAAACATAAACCCCATTCTATCTTTTAATATAAAATATCACTTTAAAAAAAGGTCTGCGCAAAAATAAACATAGACAGGAGCATGCATTTGTTATATTTAAAAAAAAAATAAAAAAATAATTATAAAGGTGGCTTTTATAGCCAACTTATAACTTGATGATTGAACTTTTTTCCGTAAAAAGTAAAGATCGAGAATGTAATCCAGGTAAGATACATAAGAATACATTCATGTATATTTTTTTTTCTCTACACTAACCTTAAACATTTCCCCTACTTTAAGCTATTATGCAATGTTATTACTGACCATAACTTACCTCCAAAACAGTGCCTACTGTTTATGTGCAGTTTCTCTTCTTTATATATATATTGTTTTCTAGATGCTCAATAAAACCTGTTCATATCTTTAAGTATCAATATATCATAAAGAATGATTTTTAAAAAGTAGAGTTTCGTTAAACTCTTCCTTGTCAGTTCAGATTTATAGATAAACCATATCTACTGGTTCTTTGCTGTTGTCATATCAAAAGTGTAATAACAATTCCTTTTTTTAATATTTAAAAAAAAAATAAATTGCAATTTCAATGATTATGGAGCACAAGGCTTTTAGAATAAACAAAGTGAAAACAATTAATTCATCTTTCCTTTACTAAATGATAAAGAATTTTTAAAATGTTTTTGATTTTGATTAAATACTCTGAAAACTAAAAATCTCTAGTAATAATTAAAAGAAAAATATATTTCTTACCAAAGAAAGAAAGTATGATTTTTGATCAATATATAATTGTAAATTCATTTTTTTTACTACGTAAATGCTTTATGTCCTTTCAAAAATATTTAACTTAATCCAAAAAATGGGATGGCTTTTAGCTCACCTAAGCCGAAGGCTCAAGTGAGCTTTTCTGATCACATTTTGTCCGTCGTCCGTCTGTCCGTCCGTCCGTCTGTAAACTTTTCACATTTTCGACTTCTTCTCAAGAACCAATTTTAATCAAACTTGGTACAAAGCATCCTTGGAAAAAGAAGAGTTGAATTGTTAAAATGAAGGGCCAAGTCTCCTTACAAGGGGAGATAATCAAGAAAAGACAAAAAAGGGTGGGGTCACTAAAAATCTTCTCAAGAACCACTGGGCCAGGAAAGCTGAAACTTAAGTGGAAGCATCCTTGGGTAGTGTAGATATTAAATTGTTAAAATCATGACCCCTGGGGGTAGGGCGAGGCCACAATAGGGAATCCAAGTTTTACATAGAAATATATAGAAAAAATCTTTAAAAATCTTCTTCTCAAGAACCACTGGCCCTGGAAAGCTGAAACTTATGTGGAAGCATCCTTGTGTAGAGTAGATATTAAATTGTTAAAATCTAGACCCCCGGGGTTAGGGAGGGGCCACAATAGGGAATCCACGTTTTACATAGAAATATATAGAACAAATCTTTAAAAATCTTCTTCTCAAGAACTACTGGGCCAGGAAAGCTGAAACTTATGTGGAAGCATCCTTGGATAGTGTAGATTCTACAGTTTTAAATCATAAAAGGGAAGGGGGTAGTGGGGCATGATAGGTATAGCAAGAGGGTGAATCTGGTAAAGAACTGCATCACCCAAGTTACTCAGGTGAGCGATGTGGCCCATGGGCCTCTTTTTTCATACAAGTCCAGATGTTTTTAACATGCAACCATGAGAAAATGTTTCTCAAATAGAGACAGATATAAATTAGTACATGTTTCAACATTATATTTTCCACATTGTACAAGGAAGCAATGAACACCATATGCTCTATTTTTCAAATCAAATATGTAATTAATTAGTATTTATAACCGCTGAAGGAGAAGATTTCAGTTACATGCAATGTGCAACATATTTTCCTTATGATAAATCACAAATATATTGCTATACAGTGTATTTATATTTTAAGTAAAAATTATTTTGTGAGTTGTACATGTAATGCCTTATTACGATTAGTTATTGATATGCTCGTAATAAGGTTCTTTCTCCAGTTTAAATCGGTGTTCTAGCAATATTAACTAAGTATATTTCTGTAGTATATGTTTAAAAAATCTGCGGTATACAAAAAAAAAAAAATTGAAAATTGATACCTTGGTGGTTGTAAGCTTCAAGTCCTTTTTCTTATAAATATTCAGATTCAAGGAGATTCCAAAAGATTTTATATGAAGTTTGTCACTGAAACAGAACTATTAAATTAATAGAATGATTCAAGTTACTTTTTTAATTTTTTTGTATAATGTTTGGAAATTATCTATTTTCCTATAGTTAAACTTCAATAATGTTTGAATGTAATGATATTTATCCATTTAGAATGAATGACATGGAGATAACGAACAGTATTCCATATCAAAGTCCATAAAACAATACAAAATAGGAGCAGAGCAAACACGGGCCGCAAAAACATCAGAGGTGGTATTAAGTGCCATGGAGGAGTGAGCATCCCCTGCCGACCGGTCACATCCGACGTGTGCTCCTTTTCATGCTCGGGAAATAACAAGTTAATCCGTCGTTATTTCAGTGTAAAATAATGGATTAACAATTAGTATGAAAACTGTCAGTCAGCATTTGACTCAATGATACATGTAAATTGTATTTGCTGACAAGATCATTGTATCGTCCACAGAACTTACGAAATGATGACTTTATACGAGAATGTTGATAATCTTGTTTCATCTACTTGTTTCTCTATAATTTACCTCGTTTTAGAAACTTTTTGTAATTAGAGCATGCTTTTGCGTATCAAATCGACTGAGATGTATAAACTCCGTATGCAGGTGATGAAGGTATATTGCTGCATAAGTTAGGGAAGTTGACGATAGAAAAGTTACGTCAACATGTTTATCATAGAGATTGGTTGTTAGATTACCATTAACACACGTCTTTGTCAAGTAAAATATCCAAATATGAAACAGATGTGTCAGACTCTGTGGTATCTTTTTTCTCAAACTCACCAAGATATATCGTATCGACATAAGAATGAAAATAATCATTGTTTATTGACAATACGTCGTCGATACATCTAAATGTCGAGTTGAAGGCTCTTAGTTCGACTGATTATCTGATAGCAGAGTTAGACCAGCAAAAGTAACGACATATTGAACAATAGGGCTGGATTCCGTACGAGGGCACATTTCTTTTTATTCCAATATATCTTTTTAATTAAAATATGGACCGAGATAACGAACAGTATTTAAGCTCAAAAGTTCATTACTTAATGCATAGTAGGAGCAGAGCGAACACGGACATTCAAAGTATCAGAGGTTGGATCAGGTGCTAAGGAGGTATTAGCATTCTCTCCCGACCGGTCTTACTCGCCTTGTCATGATCTGGAAATAACGGATAAAACCGTCGACAATTCAATGTGTATACATGTATAACGGCATAATGGTAAAATGACAAATGTACGTCATCAATTGCCTTTGTGACAAATTGTATTTGCTGACAAGGTCATTGTATCGACTATAGAAGTTTCTACTGTAATTCAAATATCATCAACCCTGGAAAGATGTCTTTTTTAATTCATAATGAACGCAATTAGCTGGCTAAGTTAATTTTAATTGAGGTAGGGATCAATTCCTTACTCCGTGGTTCTATTATATTACGCAATCGTTTGCGATTAAAGGCAAAGTACTTTGCGTTTAAAAGCAATAATTATTGCGATAAAACGTAATCTTTTGCATTTCGACGCAAAAATTATTGCGATTAAACGCAATAAAAATATTTCTTTCTCTAAACTGGCCTCAAGGGCTTCAAATTTTGACCTTTGCTCGGCACTCGGGCCATTGAGCAGTGAAGGTTCTTTATTGTGCCAACGCCTGCCGCTGACACGGGGCCTCGGTTTTTAGAAGATATAGAAAAATGCTCACAGAACAAGGTTAACTTTAATTTGCCTCATTTGGCCTTACGAATTTCTGAAAAACTGAAACTACATAGTTTTAGTTAAGAATGCATTGAATAATAACTTAGATCTTTGGTGAATGCGTATCTATAAAAAATGGCGCCTTTTTCTGTCTAGTCAATGTATAAGTCAATGTCCTTATATTCTGAAAAAATCTATAAAACAGCCAATTTTTAAAGCTATTTTTCGATATCTTATATGGAGCGCAACCTCTGATCTAAAATATGCAGCAACTAAAATGATAGAACTGTTTCTGGGGATAAACATACATGTTTTATTTATTTATTAGATCAGAGAGTCCGCTATTTTTCTTCACTGTATGTACTCAATTTTACCTCTTTACCTTAAAATTCAAGTACACTGCAATTTCAAAAAGCCATTTCTCCAAGATCTGGACTTTTAAGAGAAAATATTAATAGGAAATGAAAGCATCAAGTCTCTATTTGATTCTGATGCCTCAAATGGAAAATCAAGTGTTTATCAATCCATTGGTACATATATATCTACAGGGCCAATTTATGCATAAAGTGGACCGAGCTCTTTTTAGACTAAAATTTTTGAAAATTTTCTTTGCCAAAGATAGTTGACAGCTTAAGATATCATATTAAAAAAATTAAGTTATATCTGGTAGTTAATTTGTTGACCCCAGCCTCCTTAATGGCACCCTGCAGTCACTGTTTATTTTTATCAGAAAGATATGACCTCTGATACCATGACTTCTCCACTTATTAGCTAAAGTGTCCTCTCAGAATTATAAATTTCTGATATATTATCTTTCAAATCAAAAATAAGACTCAATAAGATTTCTATTGGTAACATATTCTCATATTATTATAAAATATTAGGGAGAATATTATTTTAAAATGTTTTTTTTTTTCTTGACATAAAATTAAACACATGAAATTCTCATGACTGAAGTTACAACCAGACAG